GATTGAGGTGTCTGCAGCACAACCAAATACCCGTTTTCTAATCGCCTCGTTACTGATACGCTGACGCCATCCGATTCCAGTGAATAGTCGTCTTTGCGCCGTTTGGTTATCTAGCTCGATCAGCCTCAGTGTCGCTTGAGGCTTGTAGTATCGGCATATGCTCCAAATTTGAGAAGGGTACTTTCTGTCGGGACAGTGGGTGGAGGGACCTAGAGCCGTCCTATGTCAAGCATTCCAAGATTTCTACACCTCCAATCGCAAGCGGGGTCACGGCGACTTCATACTGGAAGTCAGGCAACACCAACAACACCCGAACTCTTCGTAATCTCTTTCACGCCCTTCCAAGTCATACGCTATCCACCTCTCAGTTTTCGCCATTCTGAAGGAGGCACGAGGGACAACACTCGTCTCGGTAGACAGTGTTTCGGCATGCGTAGCACATGACTGATCCATCGTAGTCGATGATACTGGATGTTTTCCGCGATTGCAGTACCTACCGCACAACAAAATAACCGTTTTCTAATCACCCCGTTCCCAATCCGCTGACGCCATCGTAAACCGGTTACGCTTCGGAGGAAAACATGAAGACGCCTCACATCACGTGCCCTCAGAGACCACGTCCCGCACCCATACAACAACACGGCCCTTACCGTAGTCTGATGCATGCGACCCTCAAGACCCAGTGATATGCCTTTTTGACGCCACAAGTGACGCAAATTAGCAAACGTGATTCAAGCCTTTGGGGTTCTTGCACTAACTAAATAATAATATAATCGTTCAGCCGTAACACCCCATCGGTGCCTAGCTGCCATTCCACCCAAAGGAGGCACGAGGGCTGGGATGCTGTCAGGTTGCCCAAGCCTAGACAGGGGAAGTTGAGAGGTAGAGGTCGAGTTCGAACCACGGACCTTCCGGTCACCAAACACATTTCTGTCAGAGGTAATACAACTACTGGGATATGTAAAATTTTCCACATCCTCCAGTGATTCTCTTTGAATTGCAAGGGTTATGTTCAGAAACTGCATGTTCTGGAGCATGACTGCACTTTGGATGTGCAAGGCGTATGCCACAAGATGGTATGATGGTGGCCGTTCTATTCAACAGGGGTCGTGCTTCGTCTTCGTCTTCAAAGATGATGGCGATGTCGTCTGCGTACTCCAAATCGACAAGGTTCTCACCGGCAGCGATCTGAACAACGGGGTTTTGAAGACCCACTGTTCGCCCCATTATTTCACCGGTGACGAAGTTGAACAAGAATGGAGAGAGTGCACATCCTCGTCGGACACCACTTTTTGTAGGGAAGCTTTTGGAGAGCTCACCATTCTCGCACGCCCAGATGTATGTGAATATAGGGATCGGATTATGTTCACGAACTTCTGGGGCATATCCCGTTAAGTAAGTGTAATTGACAGCACAGACTGATCTACAGGATCGAACGCATCATTGAGTTCAAGAAATATAAAGACTGTGGGTCCTCGGTACATGTGGTGTTGTTCTAACACCTGACGGAGCGTGAAAATGTGGTCAACGTAGCTTATGCCCAGTCGTAATACCAGCTGATTCTTACGAGTCAAGGTCTCCCGTGCCACCGTAAGATGACGAAGAATTAGTGACACCAGAAGCCTTATCACATGAGGAGTCAAACAAAGACCTCTCTGGTTACTACATTCAGTCATCACCATCACCTTTGCAGCATGGCATCAGTGTTCACCACCCACGCTTCACTGCCGTAACTACCTTCAGTGGGAGTATCCTTTTCGAAAATGGGCAGCACAATCGGTTCACCCCATTTGACTGGGACGGTCTCTTTCTCCCGGATGGACCCAAATAGCCTAGAGAGACATTTGCTAAGAAACCCACCGCCATTCTTGAACAGTGTACGTGGATAGTTGTCAGGACCAGCAGCACGATAATGCTGGAATAGAGAAATACATTCGGACACTTCTGATACTGAAGGTTGCTCCATATTTACAGTCCACCTGTTTGTTAAAGGCCAGGATTCCGGAGTTGAAGTATCAAGTAGCCAGCTGGATTGTTTTTCGAAGTACTGTACCCAGCGATCCAAACGTTCTGCGTTGCTGCATATCAGAGAGCCATTTTGGTCCTTGATAAGAGATTTCCTGGAACTAGTCGAACGAATCAAATGGAACACTTTGCGGACGTTTCCAGTATTTTTCACGCCTTCCATTTCCTCGGCCTTTGGGTCCACCAAGCTTCTCGGTCTGTATGGACACCCAGGTTAACCTGGCGTCGGATGGTGCGTCGGGTGGAGTTGTTGCGGTCAGGGGAATCTCTCGCCGGGCCTCCAGCAAAGACATGGTATTATCGGAGATCCAACTTTTGGATGAGGATGACTGGGTTGTACCGTAAACAGATTTACCCGCTTTGAACAGCGCTTTGGAAATACTCTCACAGTGACAGTTTATATCCGACATCGGACCGTCTGGCAAACGTTCGGTTAGCTCGTTCCGATAGTTTTGCTTGACTTCTGGGTCCACTAGCTTCTCGATGGCTAAGCGAGGTGTGCCCCTTTTGCGTAGACCTGAAAAGCACAATGAAAAGTTGCAACGTACAAGTGCATGAAAGGTGTCCACGCTGGTGTTCGGGAAGGAGCGGCAGGCGGTGATCGACCCTCGCCACCGATAACTGACGGCACCACGTTGTCAAGCGAATTCCACTGTTCCGGAAGGTCGTACTGCAAAAGAACAGTCTGTGATCGGCGCACATCTGAAGTGAGCGATACTCGTTGTCCGTGCGTTTCGTGTTCAGTCCAAGACGCCCACCCAATCGGACTTGAGCAGCGCCCAATCTACCTACATGGGCGTACATGTCACCGGCAACCACAACGATATCTGAGTTTTTAGCCTGCTGTAGAAGGGCACCAAGAGCGTCATGGAAACTGTTCTTGGCAGATTCAGAGCTACACTCGGGGGTGTGGGGCTTAGGCAGACACAATAAATAAGGTGCCATGGTCCTCACTTCCTCCAGATTCGCTCACACTTTGACCGCGCAGAGACTACTATCAATGG